GACGTGTGCTCTTCCGATCTTTTGTCGGTCATGAAATACAGCTCTTAGCATAAAGCCAGAAACTTGTAACTAATTAAATTGACGAACAATTTAATATCCTTCGATGCTAATATGCATCTATAAGATTCCCTTCCCCCCAAAACCTGTAAAGAAATTTATTACTCTTGTGTGGTTGGATATTGTAAGAATTTCACACACGAGCCATACTCGTGTTGGCTCTCATAGGCAATTATTTCACTATATTTGATTTATTCCTTAAAGCATTCCTTCTATTTAATTTCATATACAATATTAAATTTAAATTTGTAGCAATTTGAACATATAATAAAAATAACATGTCATACCATATTTGTAATATTATTATCACAATCTTTCTATATACTTACTGCAAATTTGCTAATACAATTTGCTAAATAATTAAAATAATATATATATTATTAGATATTGTAAAATAAAACATACTATAAAAAATTATAAAAAATTTTAATTTCTAATTTTGTATATACGTATTAATTTTTGTATTATCTTTTTATGTTAAATTGTTATGCATTAAAAAGCAATCAATATTTTTTAATTAATAATTTTTTCATTATATAAAAGCAATAATTTTTAAGAAATCGTTGTATATAATTAGTTTTTGCAGTTTACAGTATTTGTGACTTCAAAATGTACTCCAGATTTAGTTATCAACATTCTCTCCTCTGCATTATTTTATATGATATTTTTGATTAAATATGTTTCGTTTATTATTAATATTAAAAGCGTAAGTAAAATATTTACAGTCTGTCAAACAAGAATGCGACCGAGTAAACTTCTCTTTTGAAGAATCGTTACGCCGAAAACACTGAGTAAATAGAAGAGTTTTTTCCTAACACAGCGTTACACAGAGAATCGTATTGTTAATTTTGTTATTGTCTAATTTTCTATCTCAAAAGAACAACGATCTAAAATATCAGAGTTGTTTTTGTTCTCAACAGAATAAAAATTAAGTTAAAATATTAAACTGGCCATCACAGTCACCAGATACAAATCGAATTGAAAATGCCTGAGGATTAATGAAGATAAATTTGCGTGGAAAAAAGCGTGCACGGTGAAACAATTATCTGGACAGATTCATTCTTTACCTCGAAAATGTTATAAAATTAATGTTACAAAGTTGTCAGACAATAATTGACAACGGCGATGCATTGGTTGACTTATTAATATAAAAGCATTGTAATACTGATTGTGCTGTCTGTGCATGCTGTGAACTGTATAATTTTTTCATTTTTTAATAACAAATTGTTGAAAAATTTTGTCGATCACGCGTTTGACAGACTGAATTATATATTAAATGTATAATGTATAAATAAGCATTTCAAATATAAATTTTAATGTAGTACAATATAAACATTATTTTTCCTGAGTTACAAAAAAAACGATGTAGTATCTTGTTCAAATAGATAAAATATTTGTTGGATCAAATGAAGTATATCTATAACGAATTAATTGACAAGAATGAAATCAATATCATAGAGAAGTATAATACTTATGCGAAACGTTACACAATCGCATTCTTATGTAAGCCAAGTTGCTTTTGTTACATACAACGTATATGTCATAATTCAAAACTAATTAGCAAATTAATAACAAGTTTACTTATTAATTAAATTAATTTTTAAATATTCTTCAGTGTTAGTCATTTCTGTTGGATTCACTATAATTTTCTATGCACTTTGGCCACGAATTTTTGATATTTTGTTTCTTATAAATGAAACTCGATCGCATCCTACATTGCCGTTAGTAGTCGAATATTTCGTCAATCAAGAAAAATACTTCTATTTGATATTGTTCCATGCAAGTGTGACTATGGTTATAGGCAGTATTACATTGTTGGCGACAGGAACAATACTGATACTTTATATAAAGTATGCATGTGGAATGTTTGAAATAACCTGGTACGAGAATAACGACATAAAAGCATGTATAGAAAATCTATAAAATCGGAAAATTAAGAAACATATAATTATGTCTAACGGATCACTTGTAGTTACCGTATCGAACGAGCAATGACATTTGAAATATTACGAAAAGATTTGAAAAATAAAAATATGATTTACAAGGGACTAATTAACGCCGTGGATATGCATCGCAAAGCTATGAAGTTAGTATTCATATGAAAGAAATAATGAAATACAATATTTGTATATAATAATCAATAATGTATAGAATACGCGTAAAATAATACCATGTTTCTTTTACAGATTTTCTACCTCGGTAGTATCTAGATTTAAAATAATGTTCTCCTTATTGATAACAGTCGGCGTGATTAGTACAACGCTCAATTTTTTTCGGGTAAATACGGTTTTCCTATTATTTATGTGTAACCGTAACAAAACTTACTTAAGTTTTCCTCAACAACTCTAATTAATTGTTTATTCGACATTACTGATTTAGTTTCTACCAAGATCTTGAGAACGCTTGTATATTAGATTTTTCAGATAATATCATTTGAATACGATGCAGTGGAATTTACATTACGTTTAATATACACCATCGTCTATTTCTCTTACTTATTTATAGGAAATTATCTTGCGCAAGAAATTATGGACCTCAATAATAATGTATTTATTACCGTGTAAGGGAATATATAATTGCATATGCGTACTTACTGTTCATATAATAAAAACAATTAATGTAATTTAATTTTTTTTAAAATCGTGTGATAAACTTATTCATAAGTTTTTTTTATACTCCTCAATAATTTCAATTATAAATTCGTTATAATGTATTAGATACAACGTTCAATGGTACGTAGCACCGTTACAAATACAAAAAATGATACTGTTTCTCTTGCAAAGGGGTACCAAAAGGTTCTCTATGAATATTGCTGGACTGTTCGTAGGATCATTAGAAGGGGCTGCTACGGTAAGGAAAATATATGTTTAAATAAGTATATAAACATAATATATTTTAGACAGAAGAAAATAGAAAAATTATGTTTTATTTCAGTTGTTGAGTACTGTAGTATCATATTTCACCGTTCTCCATTCTACACGAAATTGACGTAAAACAAATCAATTAATTAATAGTAAATGATAAAGCAGTAGTAAATGAACTAGATAAAATGCATATCTTAATTTAAAAAAATGCATTGTTAATAACATTTATGAAATTATAAAAAATCTTAATTTTATAAAAAAATATAAAATTAAAGAAAATATGTGTATATTCTAAGCATTAAATATATACTCTATACTATTAACAAAAAATTACCAATATTTACCAATAATGTAGATTGATAATCTTTATACTGACATTTCAAGTTGAGCAGTTTTACTCTGAAGGATCAAACATACCTCCGCGAATGCATCTACTAGAATGAAGTACGTTAAACTATATTGTGCAGGGAGGGGGTTGAGTCGCACCTGCGCAGTTCATATAAGTCCCTATACGCAGTATTTCTTTATGAGAAATAAACATCTGTTACATTATTACATAATAGAACTGATCGCTCAAACATACACCCTGTCGAATATAGGTGTAAATTGCCAAGTGTTTCGTCTCACGGTAGAATTTTGTTACATTTTCCATTGCATTTAAATTAAATTAGGCAATTCGACTTTAATTCAAATAAAAGAAAACAAAGCTGTAGAATACTCAGTCAGCAAAAACAAACGGTAGAGAACACGCGAAACAATCACTTTTTGTCATTTGTGCGTCAATGTGCCTGAACAAATGATCTGTATGAAGTCTCTTCAAATTAGTCTGAATCGATTTCTATTACTCGTAGTTGGCCTGTGGCCTTACCAGCAGCACTTTAAATTCGTTTGGCTCAGATTTATTTTGTTTAGTATTTTAGCGAGTTTTATTTTGTTTCAGGTACGTTCATATTTTTTAACTTTACTATATACAGTATTAAATTTTAATTTGTAGCAATTGAACATCGCAAGAAAAGTTACAGCAGACTTATAATGTTATAATTACAATCTTTCTAATTACAACATATTTATTAATAATTAAAAGATCATCAAAGATATGACATTATATATATAAAAAACACACTATAATAAATAGTACAAAATTTTTCATTTTTAATAATGTATATTTTAATTTCTGTTTTATCTTTTGATATTAAATTGTTATATATTAAAAAGCGATTAATAATTTTTTTATTGCATAAAGAAATAATAATTTTCATAAAAAATCGTGTGTAATTACTTTTTGCAGTTTACAGTATTTGTGACTTCAAAATTTACTCCGGATTTAGTCATCAACATTCTCTCCTCTGCATTATTTTATATGATATTATTGATTAAATATGTTTCGTTTAGTATTAATATTAAAAACGTAAGTGAAATAATTACAGCCTGTCAAACAAAAGCGAGACCGAGTAAACATCTCTCTTGGAGAATCATTACAACAAAAACACTTGAACGAGCAGATAGAAAAGTTCTTCCCTTACAATCCATTACACAGAGAATCGTATTGTTATTTAATGTCTGATTTTTTATCCTTCAAAAGAACAAAAATATAAAATATAAGCAATAATAAAGTTGTTTTTGCTCCCAGAAGAGCGAAAATAATGTCAAATTATTAGACTGACCATCACAGTCATCAGATACAAATCCAACTGAAAATGACTGGAATTAATGAAGATAAAGTTGCATAAAAAAGTGTGGTAAAATAATTATCTCGACAGATTCATTTTTTACCTCGAGAATATTATAAAATTAATGCTACAAAGTTGGCAAACAATAATTGCGAACGACGCTGATTGGATGACTTATTAATACAAAAAAGCGTTGTAGTACTGATTGCGTAGTTTAAAATTTTTTCACTTTTTTAAATAAATAGTTTAAAAATTATGGTCGATCACGCGTTTGACAGATTGAATTATAGATATATTAGATGCATACTATATAAATAAGCATATTCAAAATATAAATTTCAATGTAGTATGATATAAATATTACTTTTTCTGACTTAAAAGAAAAACAACATGGCATCTTATTAAAACGGCAGGGAAAATATTTGTTGGACCAAATGATGCACATCTATAACGAGTTAATTGATAAGAATGAACTCAATATCATAGAGAGATACAATACTTATGCAAAACGTTACACAATCACATTATTATGTAAGCCAGTTACTTTTGTTATACACAACATATATGTTATAATACAAAAATAATTAAGTTAATAACTAATCAAGTTAACTTAAGTTTATTTAACAATTAATTTTTAAACGTCCCTCAGTAATTGTCATTTTCGTTGGATTCACTTCAATTTTCTATGTATTTTGGCCGCAAATTTTTGATATTCTGTTCCCTATAAATGGAACTCGATCACATCCTACGTTGCCGTTTATAGTCGAATATTTCGTCAATCAAGAAAAATACTTCTATTTGATATTATTCCATGCAAGTGTGACACTTACTATAGGCACTATCACAACGTTGGCGACAGGAGCGATACTGATAGTCTATGTAAAGTATGCATGTGGAATGTTTCAAATTGCTTGGTACGAGAATAACGACATAAAAATACATATAGAAAATCTAAAAAATGGAGAAATTAAGAGAATATATATGAAATGTATGAATCGACTAATTATGACTAACGAATCACTTGTAGTTATCGTATCGAACGAGCAATGTCATTCGAAATATTACGAAAGAACTTGGAAAATGAAAATTTGATTTTCAAGGGACTAATTTATGCTGTGGACATGCATCGCAAAGCTATGAAGTTAGTAGATATTCATATGGAAGTAATTACACAATATTCGTAATAATCAATGAATTATATGTATAGAATACACGCGCGTAGAATAATATTCTGTTTCTTTTATAGATTCTCTACCTCGATAGTATCTAAATTTCAAATAACGCTTTCCTTGTTAATAATAATCGGCGTGATTAGTGCAACGCTCAACATATTTCGGGTAAATACAGTCTTTTTTATTTATTATATTACGGAGTAATCGTATAACAAAACTTATTCAATAAATTATATAAAAGATAAGATCGAGAAACGAGTATACAATAACTTAGGTGTAAAAATTAAAACTTTAATAAAATTATTATATAAAATTCTAGAATATTTCAGACTTACAGAGTCATCTTCATTCTAGCATAATTAAAAATACGCAGTAAAGTCCAATAAATAAAAGAATAAATACATTAAAACGCAAAGTTAAATACAAATAAATAAATAAATAATTTAACATGTCTATAAGAGAATAAAAACTTATTCAAGTTTTCATTGACAGTTCTAATTGTTTATTTGACATTACTGATTTAATTTCTACCAAGATCTTCAGAGCGCTTGTATATTAGATTTTTCAGATGGTATTACAATTAAAATACGATGCAGTGGAACTTGCGATACGTTTGCTGTACAACCTCGTCTATTTCTCTTACTTACTTATAGGGAATTATATTGCGCAAGAAATTATTGATCTCAATAATAATGTGTTTATTACTGTGTAAGGGAAATATTTATATATATATAATGTAATTTAATGCGCATATTTCTACGAACCAACGTAATAAAAAGTACAATTAATGTATTTTAAGAAACGTGATAAACTTGTCTATAAGTTCTTTTTTATATTACTCAATTATAAATTCATCATAATGTAGGTACAACGTTCAATGGTACATAGCTCCATTGCAAATACAAAAAATGATATTATTTGTCTTGCAAAGAAGTACCAAGGCGTTTAATTTGAATATTGCTGGACTGTTCGTGGGATCGTTAGAAGGTGCTGCTACGGTAAGAAAAATACTTTTTAAAATAAACAATATATTTTGAACACAACAAAATAGAAAAATCATGTCTTATTACAGTTGTTTAGTACCGGAATATCATATTTCACCGTTCTTCTTTCAACACGAAATTGACGCATAACAGATTAATTAATAGTGCAGTAAAATAACAATAATGAAGAAATTAGTTAAACAAAGTGAATATTTAAAAAAATATTCTAAAACAAAACAAATGTTGATTAATAACATATACGAAATTACATAAAAATGTCTTAATTTTATAACAAAATATGAAATTTGTTAAAGCAAAAGTATATTGTATACTGTTAACAAGAACTTATGAAATATTTTGTAGTCTAATGTCTATTGACAACATTTATATTGACGTTTCAAGTTGACCAATACTGCTCTGAAGAATCAAACCTCGCACGTACTAAATTAACGCACGTACTAAAATAAAATGAGGTAGTTATGTTAAAATATATTGTGCTGGAAGAGAGACTAATTGTAAGTCGTACCTGCACAGTCCATAGTCGTACAATTCCCTCACACGAAGGGAGTTGCTTTATTTTCTTCATCGAAATTAACATCTATTATATTATTGCTATAGTCACATCGAACATTTATCCATATATTTCTTATAGCAAAAAAGAGTGTAAAATGTCAAGTGTTTCGATCTCATGGATATTTCGTGCATTTACATTGCATAAATTCAATGAGATAATTCTAATTAAATTATTATATATATGATATTATTATACAGTAATAATACAATTATATTTATTACACATGTAGTAATAATTATTTTATAGTATGTACTTATACATACGAGAAAACATTTTTTTAAATATTTAATAAATTTTTTTTTTAAATATTTAATAAATTTTTTCAATGTATATATAAATGTAAATATAACTTTTCCTGAACTTAACTTAAACACAAACAGCATAGAATTTTGTGAAAAAGGTGAAATTTGTTGGAGTAGCTGCAGCATATTTATGACGAATTAACTAACGGAAATCAATATTATAAAAAAGTACGGTAGTTATGCTAAACGTTATACGGTTGCATTATTATGTAAAATAATTACTCTGATTACATGAAATTTACGTTATAATTGCCGATTAATAAACAAGTTTATAATGAATTTACTTATCAAGTAAAATAATTTTAAATAATCTTCGCTGATCGTATTATGTGCATTTTCTTTAATTTTGTACTCATTGTAGCCTTATTTCTTTTGATATTCTTCGCAAAGATACTCAAAACTTTAGATTTTCGTTGAAAAAGTTATAAAACTATATTATAATACAAGTAAGTAAATAATTAGACAAAATCATCACTAATTGAATTATTATTATAAATGACCTCTTTAATACGAATTGTGACTTTCCACGGGTTTAGATAGATAAAAATGCTACCATCGTATTCAACAACTTAAAAAACATTAGATTACATGTACAACTTATGTTACATCGTTTAAATTAAAATCGGCTTATTTAATTCATCGTCCTTTTATGGGAGCATTAGTTTTTATCAAGATCTTATGCTCGTATTCAAAATTTTTCAGATGATATCGTTTGGATACGAAGCTATAAAACTTTTATTATCAGTATTATTTGTAATATTGTAATCTTCCAAATTATCAAGTTTACTTGAAAACATTCAACCATTTTACGCAGGAAATTATCGATTGCAATATTAATATATGTATATGTCAGCATGTAAGAAAGCCAATATGACGACACATATTTGTTCCTCGGCATATAATAATAATAAAAATTGTCATTTTATTAAGAAGCAAATATTGAATAAAAAATTGTTCTCAATTTTTTTGAAAAAATTTCATCACCAGACATCCGATAGCACATATTATATATAAAATGTAACATATATATACATATATATATATATATTATTATATGTATATGCATTATCGAGATATGCGTTAACAGAGGCTGCATTCCGTTATTCACTGCGAGTACTAAAAATCTATGGTTCACGTTACGTATATTGTCATTTTTCAGTACTCGCAATGAATAACGCAGCCAGAATCTCCTCAAATGTGTTTCAAATTTTTCTTTAATCAGTAATTTGATTATAACGCAAGATTCAGAGCATGGTACAAGATTTAGTTACAAATCCGTTACCAATATAGAAGCTGATAAAACTTTCATTGCAAAGAAATACCAAAGCATTCGCTATGAGTATTGTTGGATTATTCGTGAGATTATTAGGAGGACGGTGCAGCAACGGTAAAAATATATTAGCTTATATTTTAACATGACATTAAATAATCGGTGGTGAGAGTAGGCGCAGAGAGTGTGCGTCTACTTTCTGTGTCAAAGACCTGAGTTCAAATCTGACCAGAAAAATCGAATTTTTATTCGACCGCCACTCGGAAGGCAATGGCAAATCACCAAGAGTGCATCTTACCATAAAAACCCCTCTAAATTAGGCCGTTCCGAACCGACATGAAACTGTAAGTTTTGTGTAACATCTGCGTAAATAATGCACGACGCTCTGATAAGAGAAGAAGGATTCAGAACAAATTTTAAATAGAAAAAAGACTGGAGAGAGATAATTCTGTTAAAATTGTTTAATTTAGTTATAGATATTTCAGAACTAAACAATTTTAAGTAAATTTATCAATTCTGTCTTTTTTCTATCTAAATTTTTGTCTGAATTCTTCTTCTTTTATCAGAACGTAGTGACTTCCTCGTCGTATTTCTGTGGTGTGCGTTATTTACAATTTACGCAGATATACTCATATACAGGACTTACAGTTTAACACCGGTTCCGAACGGCTTAATTTAAAAAGGGTTTTCATGATAAGATATACGATATCATATTTCGTTGCCCTTTATTCGGCAACATTAATATAAAAATAAATAAAAAATTGAAAATATTAAAATAAAAAAAATAATGAAATTAATTATAAATAAATGATGTTGCTAATTTTCTTAAAAGAAGCAGAGATAAATCAGATGTGTAAGACGAGTTACAAAGAAGAGTGTAATAACTGCAAAAATAGAAAACGTATAAAACAATGCTTGTATAATAACACATTAAAGAATATATTTAATAATAAATTATAATAAATCATTGGCCGATAGATCGGTATGTAAAACTAATCAATTGCCACTTTTCTAAAGAATCAAAATGTAACGTACGAGTTCACACACTGCGAAGAGAATGAAGTGCGACAAAACGCTACTGAAAGTACGCCTGCGCGACTTTTTATCGGGAAATACATTTACAAGTAGTTTTCTCTTTTGGAAAATAAACATCTATTCAATTATCTTACGTTGCATCGATCGTTTAATCGCCCACCTATTTCTAGGCAAATTTGCTAAAATGCGAGTGTTCCGATCTCACGGTAAAATTTCGATATTTCACGTCGCATTAGGCAATTTACATTAATATTTAAGCTAGATAAATAAAGGAATGAAATATACAACCGACTGGTCGAAAGAAAAAAATAGGCTCACTGGTCCCTTTGCTGTTACACGGATATACACGCTCGTGGAGAAATGATCTCTATCGACTCTTTACATATTGGCCTCAATCGGTTTTTATTACTCATAGTTGGTCTATGGCCTTATCAGCAGTCTAAACTCGTTCAGTTTCAATTAATTCTGTTTTTTGGTATTTTGGTAACATTTATTTTATTTCAGGTATGTGAACATGATCTAAATTTTAATTGTATATAATTATAAAATAAAAAAAATCATTGTTTTTATTCGTGGCGATCATTAACTTTGCAATTTATATTAGAACCGTTATAAGTTATCACAAACTCAATATCACATATATTATATCATATATTAATATAAATAAATATATTAAAAATTTAAATTTTATATAAATTTTATTCTAATAAATAAATTCAGTTTTAAATAGATATTAAATCGTAATATATTAAAAACCAATTAATAATTGAAGTCTTCTTCTGTTAATATTATCAATTCTAAGAAAATAATTTTAATAGAAATTTCGATGAATAAAAATATTTTTTTGCAGTTCACAACGTTTTTGACTTCGCCATGTACTACGGATCTTTTTATTAATGTTCTTTCCTCTGTATTATGTTTCGTTACCTTTGTGATTAAATATAGTTTTTTTAGCATTAATATTGAAGTCGTAAGTAAAATATAAAGGGTACAATCAAAAGTTGCCAAAATTTAATAGATGTTATTTTGAATAAACAGAATATATAAATTAATTAAATACACTATGCAGTAAAAAATCCATTTATACTAGTATTTAATACAACAAGAATATACATATACATATATTATAAAAATAATCACCAATTCGACTAGTTGCAGATATACATATGATAAAAAAATGATTATCTGAACTAATGTTATAATTAAAACGCTTTCCAAAACATTATAAATTAAACATAACAGCTAACATTATTATAATTATGCTTTTGAAGAAGTCCAGATGAATTTCTTTTGTAAAAATGTCCATGTTAAAACTTTCTGAATAAACATTATTGATTGTCACGTTATTGTGAGTTACACTATTAACCAAAATTTCAATTTTTGTATTTTTTCTACATATTCAAGAATAACATTTTTTTTTATATTATATGCTAATAAAAATGAAAAGGTTCTTCTGAGGAGTAATATTTAATTTATTCCTTTCTTGCTTACTAATTTACAAAATAACATCTACTTCTATTCAGTAATTTTTCGATTGCCATCCTGTATATTAGGTATTATATTCACGTGTGGATAAATATTTCCAAAAATAAGTTTTTAACATAATATACAGTAATATTTATTAAACATAATAAAAAGCACGCAAAATTATTAAAACAGGTAAAGTGTTTGCTGGAGCAACTGCAGCATAACTGTGATGAATTAATTGATGAAAATGAAATCAATATCATGAAACAGTACGCTATCAATGCAAAACGTTACACGGCTGTACTTATACGTAAATAATTGCTTTCGGTTTCTATAAAACGTAAATTGAATGTTATATTTGGAGAGATAACTAACAATTTTATAATAAACTTTCTAAAGATTGAACTTTTAAAGAATGGATTCTGAAATATTTTTTAGTGTTAAGTGCATCCGCTTTATTTTTATATCCAATTTGGCCGTGGATTTTCGATATTTTACTACCTAAAACTCGACCACATTCTTTGCCACTGTTTGTAACAGAGTATTTTGTTGACCAAGAAAGATATTTTTATCTGATTACCTTGCATGCAAACGCAGCCTTTGCTATAGGCCTTATTGCAATGGTAGCGACAGGGTCATTGCTCATAGTTTGCATACAACATGCATGTGGAATGTTTCGAATTGCCTGGTAAGAGAATAAAAATATAAAAATAATGATGTATAAAAAAATCAATAATTGTAAAATTGGAAAATTAGAGAGACTATTTAATCATGCTAGAAGAATCACTTGCAGTTATCGTATTGAACAAACAATGACAATTAAAACTTTGCAAGAAAACAGCTCAAAAAACAAGAATTTAATTTACAAGGGATTAATTTATGCTGTGGACATGCATCGCAAAGCAATGAAGTTGGTAGTCATAGTACAACAGTAATTATACAATATCTGTAATAATCAATAATACGTGTAGAATATGAGTAGAGTAATATCTCCTTTCTCTTGAAGATTCTCCGACTCGACAGTATCTAAATTTAAAATAATGTTCTTCCTTTTGATAGTAGTCGGCGTGATTTGCGGGGGTCTGAATTCTTTTCGGGTACATTTCGCCTTTCTCTTATAATATATTTATGAATAGTAGTACAAGATCAATTACAACCAAATTTTTATCAGAAGTTTTAATTATAATCGTTATTTTGTTTAATATTATTAATGTAGTTTATATCAAGATTTTGAATGCGCTTGTATATTAGATTTTTCAGATGGTAGCATTTGAATGCAATGCAATGGAACTTTTGTTACCCATAATATTTGTCTCCATCCATTTCACTTACACATTCGTAGGCAACTATGCCGCACAACAAATTACGGATCACAATAGTGATATATTTGCCACTGTGTAAGGATAATATTTATGCAATAAAAATACATGCACGTTTGTATCGATCAATGTAAAAAATACAGTTAGTATATTAATTTAAAAAACATGTTAAATTTGTTTTTTTTTTTCATATTTTCTCAATAATTAATTTGTCATAACATAGATATAACATTCAGTGGTATACAGCTCCGTTGCAAATACAAAAAATAATACTGTTTCTCTTGCAAAGAAGTAATAAAGCGTTCACTCTGAAATATATTGGTGGATTGTTTGTGGGATCATTAGAAGGTGCTGCTACGGTAAGAAAAATATTTTTCAAATTATGTGTTAAACCTAACGTATATCTTACACAGAGAAAAATGGAAAAATTGTGTCTTATTGTAGCTGTTGAAAATCGCAGTATCATGTTTCACCGTTCTTCATTCTATACAAAAGTGAACAAACAATAACAATGAATGCAAAGAAGGTTAACGACTAATAGTAATGAGATAACGATAGTAAAGCAATTCTAATTGCTATATATATTAAATGCGAATTATGTATTATAATCTGAAAAGATAAGTTTCTTTTTAATCTCAATAGAATTATAAAAATTCTTAAAACTAAAAAAATACAAAAACGTTTAAGCAATATAGTGTTTACAGGAAATTGTTAATAATTAACAATTGATACGTATCAATTATTGATACGTGATTAATGGTAAATATTAGACTGAGTAATTATCATTTCTTTAAATGGTTTAATGTAACTTACGACAGTACGCATCACGAAACCAGTGAGATATGTGCGTTACTGAAAAAAAATTAGCAAATGTTTGCGCGACAATCCGTTAGCAAATAAATACACAAGTATATTTCTATGAGAAATCAACACCTGTTCAATTTTCCATATTATATCGATCGTATAATCGCCGATCCCTTCTCAGGCAAATTGCTAACGTTTCAGAGTGGTATTTTTCGCCACTTTATATTAGATTAAATAATATATGATGCAATTTACAAGAAAATGGTAAGTTGTAATATTCAGTAGAAGATAATATAGAGGATAATAAAAAAGTAAGAAGATGCGCAAGCCTGATTTTCACAGTTAGACGCATTTCAATGCTCGTAGAGTAATGATCTGTATCGAGTCTAGACACTTTAATTTCAATCGAACTCTTTTACTTGCCCTTGGCTTATGGCCTTATCATCAATCGAATTTCGTTCGATTACAGATAATCTTGTGCGTTGGTATACTGACAAGTTGTATTTTCTTTCAGGTAAATATATTCCATATTATGTTCCATATTTTTTATTTTATTATTATATTATTCCACATATTTCTCATTGTGTCATTATATAGCTAAAGCTCTATATAATTATAAAATCATTCACCTTCTCAGAACTTTTATAGCCACTCTAAGTATATTAACAACATTGTGATATGTACTTATCATCCTATATAATTGAAATTATAAAACTTTCATTACATTATTTGACATTACAAAGAAGCTAACCATTCTAAACGTAAAATTTGATAATCGAATAAGCCAACAGTTTTGATCTCTTCGGTAAATTTATCTATTACAGTTTGCAACATTTTTGACTACAGAATGCACTCCCTATCTTGTAATAAAAGTTCTCGCTGTTGCAATATTTTCTACTACGTACATCATAAATTATAACGCATTTTGGATAAAAACTGATACTGTAAGTTTAAGCTTCTGTTGCATATTCAGAAAAATATATCTCATAATTCTCATAAATAAGTTTCTAGATATAATAATTTTTTTCAAGTTTTGCAATAAGAAACGCGTTAAATATTATAATAGGTAAAATATTTAATGGAACAACTACAGCAAATATGTAATGAGTTAAAAAATGAAAACGAGATCAATATCATGAAAGAGTACGGAAACTACGTAAAACGTTATACAGTTGCACTTATATGTAAGATAATATATGTAAATATATAAAATACAAAGCTAAATTAATTAATTAGAACAAGTGCTAAGCAATTAAATGTAATTAATTATAATTTTTTTACACTTGATTTTATTTATTACGTTAAAAACATAAAAAATGTTTTACAGTTAATATTTGAATAAAATGTCACGAGAAAATAATTATAAAGCACACAGAAATTTAAAAATATGCATTATAACATATATATTTAAGAGTATAAAAAAATTTATATAATTACTTATTAAAATGTTTTTAGCGATCACTATGTTCCTTATGGTTATCACCTTTTCAATACCATTTTTGTTGCCAATTTTTGAAGTTTTACATATAAACGGATCTAACCCACATCAAATATACTTTTTCGTGTCTGAGTACTTTATCGATCAAGAAAAATATTTCTACATAATTATGTTATATACACATGTAGTCATATGTATAGGAGCAACTACGACAACAGCAACAGGGACAATGCTCAGAGGATACCTCACACACGCTTGTGGAATGTTTAAAATTGCCAGGTAAAAGAATAAATTAATAAATCACTTACTAGTTTTCAAAAATTATGGTTGCAAATAAAATTTTGATTTTGTATCAATGCTTAGTACAAATTATAACGAATTATAAAAAAAATAATCTATGCATTTATGGTCTAAAATTAATTTATAGTTATCGTATCGAGCAAGCAATGACGATCAAAATGCTCGAGAATACCAGTAAGGAGAACGAAATTATGATTTCCAAAGAAATAATTTGCGCCGTCGATATCCAGCGCAAAGCTATAAAGTTGGTATCCATATGTGACAATATAAAGTTTATTTGGAAAATTAGTGTTAAATTTAATACATACTCGAAACGGCCCACTTCAATTTATGTTAATTTAACATAAAATGAATATATTAGAATATATAATAACATAAACATTAAATAAAAATTAACACAAATGTGATAATTTGTCACAAATTAAAAACAAATTAAAAGAATTTCTTCAAAAAAATTAACATTTATAATGTTAAATTAATGCATATCTTCATCTCTTATTCATTTATCTTCGATTTACGTTAAATGTACATTACTTGAAGTAGAGAGTACATTACTTGAGATTACGATTACTACATTTTAAAACTATTTTTATATTATTCATTTATTTATTCATAAATGATGTTACTTTAACACTAAAAAATGTTAAAAAGCAAATCAACACAAAATACTTAAATAATATAATTACATTATAAATTATAAGATTAACACGGTTGCAACATAAAAATTTTAACAAGGACCATTTTAACACAAGTGTAAAATGTTTTCTACTATGTATAGTAATTGTAATAATATTTTACTTTTTTAAGGTACTCTGAATTTTTGTTATCCCGTTTTGAAGGATCTTTGTGCCTAATAATGATGGCTAATGTAATTTCTTTGAGTCTCAATCTTTTTGCAGTAAGTTTTCTCTTGCGTTTTTAAACATGTTATTCAATATAACTGTGTAAATTATCTCATAATATTTGAACTTTATCTGAAAGAATTTCCAGATAAAAAACATAATTTAAAAATTATAAAAGCAAGACAAATGCTAATTCGTTTTTAATCAATTAAATTTTCTTTTTGAAAAAATAGAGTATCTAATAGAGAAATATTTTTTTGTTAATATTATTTACTTATAATTTTATAGTAGTAGTATATTTTTGTACATAAAATAAATAATTATTAAAATTATTACTTACAAATTTAAACCATAATATTTTAGATTTTTCGAACTATGACTCTTGGACTCAAAGAGCAAACCATATTTCATACTGTGATTGCATCGGTTATTCTTATGTACATGTTCTTAGCTAACTATACTGGGCAAGAAATAATAGATCACAATAATAATATATATATTACAGCGTAAGAAATTGCTTCGTATAACGTACACATAATTATCATTAATTTAGTTGTACTCGAGTTGTACTCGAGTAATTAAATTAAAGATTAATAATTACATATGCTACAATATATTGAATTTAATATAATAGTTATACAATCCAATTATTTGATGAGAAGAAGAAAAACCTTCATTTATTGACCGATTTACCTTAATTTATTTACCTTAATTTATCGATTTATCAAATCGATTGTATATTTGCTGACATTTCAATTCCCGAACATTTTGATCCTAATTTTACATAGGCAAGACGAGGGCTTACATATATAAATTGACAGTAATAAGAATAAAAATTTAAAAAAATTATAGATGCACGTTTAAAGTATTTCTAATGTTTTTGGACAATCTCTCTTTTCTGTGCAATTCGGATTGATGATAATTGGAATGTCAGCAAATCCTTACAGTTGACAAATATTGTGTCAATAAACGAGATACTCTTCATTATTATTATTTTATAGGTACAATGTTCGATGGTATGTAGCCCCCATGCACACACAGAAGCTGATACTCTTTATATTACGAAGAAGTGGCAAAGTTTTTGGTTTGCAGTTTGGCAATATATTTATGGCATCCTTAGAGTGTTTCGCCACGGTAATAATCATTATATATAAAACATTATTTTACTTATGATTCGAATCATCACTCTCCTATTAATAATTCAATACAAGATGTATTTTCATTACAGTTATTAAAAGCATCAATGTCTTATTTTACCTTCATGTATTCTACGCAGCAATGATACCAAAGAATATTATTTAATAAAAATAGGTTATAAGGCAATATTCATAATTTAAAAAATAAAAATGTGTTAAGATAACTGAATTTTTAAAGTGAACTTGAAATATCATTTGCACGAGAGGAAGTTATTAACTACAAGAAAAAAAACGAAATGTTCTAAATTATTGTATTGTAAAAATTACAGAATATGTAAAGTTGGCAATGTGTTGTGTATAATATAAATTTATTGTTTAGCACTCAGCATTTGTTTAATTGTTTTTACGAAATGTGTACTTAATTTTTATAAATATAAAAAAATTTTGATTAATTGCATTATTAAATAACATGCAAGAAAATTTTTTTCGTCAATAGTTCTCGTATAAAACCTAATCAACTGTATTTAATTTTTAATACTATTTAATATTGTATATATTTCTGATGACTAATTATTTCAAATACAGTAAGTTCCTAATAAACTGATGCATTTGCACAATAAATGACTTGAGAACAATATACGTAAATATATTTAGAGATAATACTGATTACCTACAGACGACAAAAATTTATATTCATGAAATTATAACATTGCTCGCAAGTAATGTTATAATAGAGATATAATATATAACAGAGATATAATTTATAAAATATGAAATATATTGCATAGTTAAGAAATAATTCTCAAATTTTTTTCATATTTCAATATCAATTCGTCATGACGTATATACAATGTTCAGTGATACGTAGCTCCGTTGCAATTACAAAAGACTATCTTTTGCAATGGAGTAGATGTTACAAAATTTAGAAAATACAAATATACCCAAATCAAAAATATTTTCAAGAAGAAATTATACGTAATATTTACCAGCATTGTATATGACAACTGTAACGTCGATGATTCAAACTGCGTAACTCACACTGTGTATTCACTCTGTGAAGAATCAAACGTAGCTTAAGACAGCGCGCAATAGACTGAGGTACATTAAAATATATTGTGCTGGAAAGGGTCGAACCGCACTTGCGCAGTCGACCCTCGCACTCTTCATGAAGTGTTTCTTTACGGGAAATAAACATCTGTTACATTATTGCCATACTGAAATCAATCGATTGGACCGTACCCTTTTCGTAATAAATATGTAAATTGCTAACGTTTATTTTTTTGTGATGTGTTTCGGTCTCACGATATTTTGTTATATCCTGCATTTATATTAAAATAAGCAATTTGTGTAAACATTCAAATAGAAAAAAAAAACAAAATTAGAGAGGATAGTCAACGATAAACAAAAAGAATAAGCAAATGAATTTCTTCCCCATCAATTGCATTTCAATGCTCATGAAAAAATGATTTGTATTGAGTGTTTGCATATCAATCTCAACCGATATCTATTACTTGCAGTTGGTCTATGGCCTTATCAGCAGTCTAAACTCGTTCGACTTCAAATAATTTTACTTTTTGGAATTTTAGCAACTTTTATTATTTTTCAGGTACGTTAATATTTTTAATTGTACAATTATGTATCAAATAAAATTAAATTTTAATACTTAGAAATCTTCCACATTGGGAATAAATATAAATAAATAGAAAGTGCTACATAATTTA